AATTCTTCATTATACCTATCTTTCCTTCTGTTTTTTCCCCATTTTCAACCTATCTCACTTCTCAAAGCTTTGAAATGCATGGAACAATGGTCAGCCCTTTGCTTTTTGACAAAATTTTCTTTGAAATTAGTAAGAAGGGCTTGCACTATGGAACTTTGCAATATTTCCCCTTGATTCGTATTTGGTTTGGCTCTCTTAAGAAGAATCTCTCTGTATTTCCATTATGTCATGTAGACACATTTGATTATCAAGTCCATATGTCTGGTTCCCTTACGGAGCTGTGAATCTGAAGTCAGGAACCTGCATTCATTCATTTATTCAATATGTAGTGACTGAGCACCTACCGGGTTCCAGGCGCAATTCCAGATACTGCGGATACAGCAGTGTAGACAAATGCCCTGTTCCCGTTGGTAGTTACAGCCTTGTATGGAATCCTGCTTTGTATTTCCATAGTGCCTGGCCCATGGTAGGTGGTCAAATGTTTCACGAATGGATGGGTGGAGTGATAAAATAGATATTTCTGTTGTTGGGCACACTATATTTAAACAAAATGGACCAAAACTTGGTGTGAAATTGAATGTTCTAAGCTCCCCTGAGAGAATGAGAAACAACTGTCATGACCATTGCAAATGAGCTATCACTTTGCCTCTTTCTCCTTCCCTATGAGATTTCCTACTTGGCATTTTGCTGTGTAGAAAGCAGCAGGTGAACAAAACAAGACAATGCCAGTGCAGAAGCAGCTCCTTCGGAGAGGTGAAGACCTTTTTTCTCATGAAGATATTAATTACAAGCAATTTCTGTGTTGAGAAATAGAAAAAGATTGGCCAGAAAATAGCTAAGCTTCTCTCTAAAATCCTTAGCTTGAATTGTCTCCATTTGAATTTTGCATAACTTTGTTTGTTTCAGCCAAGTCCAGGTAAAGGATCTAGAATCACAAAGATGGGGGGGGGCACTTCCTCTGGAGAGCAGGACAAGATTCTCTGCAGATTGTACTAAAATGCTCCTCACAAAGCTTTTACTAACATTTTAAGTCTGACCTATGTAACTCTAATCTCCATTTTCTGGAGTGTACATTCACTGGATGTCATAGAAAAATTCTTAAAATTATTTTAATTTATAATTTTAAAAAAATTCAATAATATACACATATGGTCCAAAACTTAAAAGGCTCCAAAGCACAAATCACGAAACAGGTCCTTCCTCTTGTCTTCCTGTCTCCTGGCCACCCTGTTCCTGTCCCTAGAGGCATCCGATGATGTTTGTTATATCCTATATATTATATGATTATCTACACTTTGGAAATAACAAGACTCTTGCATGCAAATGTATTTCACATATGCAGCTACTTGGAAGTCAAATAGACTATGTAAAAACTTTTTTTGATTTATTCTAATAATTCCTGCTCAGATGATTAATTTCATTTTCTACCTGCTTTCAAGAAAAGCAGCAAAAAGACATATCTTGGAATTGAGAAGGAGCGCTGCCAGACACTAAGGCAGCCGGGCTGTCATTAATAGGCAGATATGGTCTGACTTCCCACCTAAAAACTACAGGCTTTCTTGAAGACATCCAAGGTTCCTTCCAAAGGCAAGAACCTCAATTCTGCTAAACAAGAAATCACACTTTTCTCCAGTAAGTTCAAGATAGGTACTGTTGTGTCTATAGGAATGTGCAATGAAATTGATGTTCCAATGACCCAGGTGCTACCAATCTCTGAGATTTTTTGATAGTCAGTGCAGTTTTAGGACTCATTATGTTACCTCATTTCTTTGGAAACTGAGAAAACTTCAATCATATACATATATAGAAATATAAATCAGAACATCCCTTCCCAAATGTTGATTAATCACGCCTTAATGACATCACTACCCAAATGATGTTCTTGAGTAATACATTATGCTCAAAACCACCAATTGATTAGTTGCAGGTTTCATCCATGCGATTTAAGCTTTAAGATGTTGCCCTATCCATGCTTGGTAGTATATCAGCTCTTAACAGTTCCATAAGCTTTTAAAGTACGGTTATGGGTCCTAAAGCAAGTCTGCAGAGCTGAGCGGGACTGGCTATAGGGAAATCACAACAGCAGATTTCCAGGTTGACCCCCTGTAAGATTTATCCATGAGATTTGGGGGGAGGCTTGAGAAGCATTCTCAAGAACTTAAATCAGTGGTTCCCCAACTGACCACTTTAGGACCTCCTGGGGAGAAATTAAAAAATGCTCATGCCCNCCAATTGACCACTTTAGGACCTCCTGGGGAGAAATTAAAAAACGCTCATGCCGGGTCAGCATGGCTCAGTGGTTGAGCATCAGCCTATGATCCAGGAGATAGCAGCTCGACTCCAGTCAGGGCACATGCCCGGGTTGCGGGCTCGACCTCCAGTAGGGGACATGCAGGAGGCAGCGGACCAAAGACTCTCTCTCATCATTGATGTTTCTGTCTCTCTCTCCCCCTCCCTACCTCTCTCTGAAATCAATAAAGACATATTTTTTAAAATTGCTCATGCCTGGGTCCCATCCCCTGAGGTTTTAATGTAATGGGTCTGGGGTATGGCCTAAGCACTGGGTTTCCAAAGCACCCCTGCTCATTCCAGTGTGCAGTCAGGACTGAGAACTACTACTGTAGATTTTGACCAGGAAAGCCTGACTCTGGAAATCTCTTTGGATCATCAGAAATTGTTTACTTCTCTCATGTGGGATTGATACGGAGCTATATCAGCACTACTCTGCATGAAACCAAGGCATAATTTCAGGCCACTCAATGTGATCTGGAGACCAGTGACATCCACATCACCCAAGCACCCAACCCCCTACAACTGAAACAGAATCTGCATTTTAACAAGATCCCCAGGTGTTCCTTTGCTCATTAAAGTTTAAGGAGCTCAGAAGAGTAGCCTCAAATTATGCATTTCTAACAAGTTCCCAGGTGTTGTGGTTCTACTGGTTCTCAGGTTTTCCAGGGGGAAAAAGTGTAGGAAGCTTGTTCTGGACTTCACTGCAAACCTTCCCGAATCAAAAAGTCTCTGGGTATTGTAATAACTATGAATAGTGACAGGTGGATACTTGAAATATTGGGGGAATCACTTAGTAAAGTAGATGACTGTCTACCTGAAACTAAAAGTAATTGAATGTAAACTGCAATTGAAAAATAAAATTAAAAATAAATAAATAAATTAAAGCATTTGGAACAGTTGGGGGAAAAAGCCTCTGGGACTCTGCTTTCACAGACTGCTCATTCCCAGGTGATTCTTGTCTACACGAAAGGTGGAGGACCACTGAAGCACCCCCCCCACACTTGTCCCCAGGGTAGGAGTCATTCTCTCCTTTGAAAAGCAGCTCAGTCTAATTGTTTAAAAGCCCTTCTGCATTTAACCTAAATCAGCCCAGAGGAAACAGTAGTACTCCCTAAAGAAAAAAAAATTGTCTCTTCCATAGCCCTTCAAAAAAACCGAAGACAGTTTTCCCTTGCGTGTAAGGTCTTCATCATCAGGCTTACATTCCCCCAACGACTGCTCCTCATTCTGTTTCTTGCTATTCTGTTTGCCCCCACACCCCACGCTGGAAACCTTCCAGTTCAGCACACCCCTCAAATTTGGCAGCTCAAAGCAGAGAAAACCTCCAACATGAGCAACATGGTATAGAGACTATCATTGGATCAGAACATTTTTTAAAATCCTACAGCGAGAGGTTGCATTTCTGTTTGTTTTTAGAAAAGCTCTGCATCATGTTAATTTAATATTAACTGTTTCATCACAACTGCTATCTCTTTTCCCCCTGAGTCTTCGAGAGACACCACCTAGGCTTTCACTATTATGCATTGAATGTAAGTATAGGGTTTTACTTATAAGCCAGAAAAATTTCATCACTGTGATCTCTGCCCACTGTTTCAGCCCGAGGGAGTTCTGGTTACTAGTCCTGAGTAAACGGTCCTGGATTCAGATTCAAGTCTGACCTCTTCAATTCTGCTGCAGGGCCTTAAGCAAGTTCCTTAGCCTTTTCTAAGCCTACCTTTCATATTGTATAGGTGCTATAATACCCCGTAGTACCTATCATAGGATAGTTGTCAAAACTGTAAATGGTTAAGAGCATCCCCAAGCTTTGAATAATTTACACTTAATTACCATAACATTTTTGCGCCCATTCATTGTTTTCCACCCCCTCAATAAGTAAGTGGCAGTCCTGAAATCTGAAATACAAAATCTGTCTCCTCCGCTACCACCTACGACCCATTCTAGTTTGGTTTTTGTGTGTGTGAAGAATTCCTGTCTCCTTTCCACAAAATAGGAGGGGAAACATAGGCCAAGAACCAGTTAAACCAAATACCAAGATGTTCTCTAGAAACCACCCACGAGGAAAGTTAAAAAAAAGTCATGTCCCTGACATGGGTTCAAAGTGTTCAGACAGGGTACCTACTTCCACTTTCTCACCAAAAGAAGAACTAAAATTGCTGAGGTTCTGGCCATTGAAATTGTTGAGCCAGGGTTCCCGGGCTAAGCTATGTGATAAAATGTGATATACATAATGTAATGTATTCTATTGGGTCATAAGGTTTCACCCTGCCTCGATGCCAAGGAAGGAGTTACTCAGGGGCACTGAGGTTCCATACAGAAGCCTGGGAACTTGTATATAGACCCTCCCATGAGTGGTACATTTCCTACATGGAAATGAGTAAGACGAATATACTCCGAAGCCTCACCATTTGCACCTCTCCACCCCACCCCCAAATTCTCATTTTTTTAAAAATAGAGACAATCCCAAAAGCAGGAGCCTCAGGTTTACCACCGAAGACTTAGGAAATGCTCGGTCATTTCGTGCTTGGTGGTCCTTTTCTGTGACTCTCCAGGGAATTTTCCAGATGCAACCCTTTGCTAATCTGCATGATTTACAGATTTAGAAAGGCTGAGGTTTCCAGAACCTACACATTTTCCCAAGAGATGAATCAAAGAGCTGTAACGCGAGCACATGTACAAGGCAAGGATTAAATATACTCGAACGACTCAAGTAACAAACACCTAATATTTATTAATAAATTAGTACACTTGAAGGCATTTTCCCGATATCGGTCCCTCACCACTACCACAAACCCAGCCCACACGAGGGGAGTCCACGCCCTTTGCGGGGGAAGCTGGCAGCTGAGCACGGGACAGCATGTTTATAAATGGGAGCAGAGTTGCAAACACATCGGACACGAGTTCTTACAGCTGCAGCCATTTTAATGAAGTGACTGAATGATGTAGGGACCCCACCAAGAGCAAGGCCTCGATCGAGGGCGGACTGCACCTATCAACTACGTGTAGATAAAAAACAAGACATCTTGAAAGCAAAGCGGGGCAAATTCCCTATGGAAACGGTGCCACTGGCAGTCGGCTGTGACTTCCCGAAGTGCAGCCATCTCTTCCAGAACAGCTCACCCCCTAAAATATGAAGTTCTTTGGAGGCCCAGCTGTCAAGCCGCTTAAATAGCAGGTCCTGGTGGCTTGAGGACGTCACGTCTCCAGCCCAGAGCGCAGCAGTGTGAGAGGCGCACAAGTAAACAAGCGGTCGGCACGGTGTCCGGGTGACAACCACACGGCGCGGTCGAGCTTCGGCCATGAGTACAAACTACACAACAAGGCATATGGAAAAGGTGACGCGACGCCTGACCGAGTTACAGCGACGCGACGGGGTCTGACATTTCCTTAACCCTTAAGGAAATTCCTAACTGACAAATAATAGTAAAAAACAACAACAGTAAGAATTTAAAAAGCAGCTGTGGCTGTTGAGACGCGAAGGCCGCTGACAGAATTCACACGATGCCATTCGGCGCCCGGAGCGGCTCACAGCCCGGCGCCCGCCGCGTTTGTGGCACGTTAAGTGAATTTAAAGTGCGCAGAACAACTTGGAAAATACATAAAGAAGGCAAAACAGAGAAAATACGGAACCTAAAAAACTTTATAGTGGTGGGTATTTTGCAACAGTTACATCTTGAAAAGGTTTATAAACTAACTTCCCAGAAGGGTTAAAAAAAAAGAAAAGCAAGAAAAAAAGAACTGAAGACACTGGCCATATACTCTGTTAAACATACACACGCACACACACCAAAAGACAAAATAAAAAACAAAAACAAGCCACCCTGACACTACACTACAATGGGGAACTTCCAGAGTGCAGTGTCCCTCGCGTTCTACAACAGGTCAGGAAGGTGGCTATAAACAGAGTCTAGGAGGGTCTGGCTGGCTTCCTGGCTCTTGACTCCAATAATCTCAAATAGCCGGTCCAGCTTGTCCTCGGCCTGAGGAATCTCTTCAATCACCCGCAGCTCCTCAGGATTCAGAATGTGGAGCATGTCATCGAAAATAGGCTGCAAGTCACAGGGGTCCAGGCGTACCTGCCGCAACACCGTGTCCTTCTTTTCTGCACCAGGGAAGAGAGAAAAGGGAAGGGGGAAGCCGTAAAGGGACCGTGTGGGTGGGACGAGAGGGAAAGCTAAGAGTGACAGCTACTCTCCCCCAGGCTAGGCCCACCCCACCACCACCCCAAGGTGAGTGAGGGAACCTCTGGCACATTTTAAACAACATGGGAGTTTTTATTTGCATTGCACATAAGATAAACAAAACAAGATTTGCCTAATAAAGATCAGAAGGATCTGCTTGGGTTGTTGATGTGCCTGTCTTTGACCACGACCTTTGCCTAACCCTAAATGACTTCTAAAAGCTTTCTCTAAAATATAACACATAACAAAATATAAACTAAATAAACATAAATATGTAAAGTATTTAAAATATAAGGATGTAAGATAGAACATATTTTATAAATATATAAAATAGAACACAAAAATATAACCCTTTCACTAAAATATAACTGGAATTAAATAAACTAGGAAATTTCTCCCAAAAATCTGTCATCAATACCACATGTGTGCATGTTAATTCCCTATACCCCACCATTAAAAACTGAAAGGGGCAAATTATTTACCAAAAGTACCAATCCATAATGTTTGAAACACTGTTACTTACAACCAAGCTTAACAGCAAATTTTAATTCGAGTCACTAAAACCTGTCCTTCAGGCCGGCTGGTGCGGCTTGGTGGCTGAGCGTCAACCCTTGGATCAGGTTCAGTCCCCGGTCAGGGCACATGCCTGGGCTGTGGGCTCGATCCCTGATAGGGCCGTGCAGGAGGCAGCCAGCCGATCGATGTTTCTCTCTCATCGATGTTTTTATCTCTCTATCCCTCTCCCTTCCTCTCTGTCCTAAATCAATAAAAATTTTAAAAAAAAAGAATAGAAAAGAAAAGAAAAAACCTCTACTTCAGATACTCAAGACAGCTTAATGCTTTAAATCCTTGGGTTCCGCGAGCCTAGTAAATAATTTTCAGAAAACCTGGCAGACCACATTTTATCAGGCCTTTGAAACACGTTTGATAGCATCATGAGGATAAAGGGTAACGGATACTCCGGGAGCACAGACCCTCGGCCAGGCAGTCGGAGCTGTGAAGACTTTCCAGGTGGATCCCCACTGGCTCAAGACCTGATCCCTCTCAGCCAGCCTTATCTTCTTGTCTGGGGTGGGTTTTCTAGGGCAGGTCATGCAAGTGACGCAGCCACCACTGGACTGTGGAAGTGGCAGGGAGACACCCTGAGGGCTCTTTTGGGGAAGGCTCTGTACCTTTGGTAATAAAGGAGCCCGTCCTGCTGAGCGCGGAGGAGCCACTGGATGTGGAGTCACAGCGAAGAAGGGGCTCGGACTCGTCCACGAAGAAGCCCTTGCTCTTCTCCAGCGGAGAGGGCTCCACGGTCAGGAGAGTGGAATTCTCAAGTTTCGTGCTGGGGCTGGGGATGGGGCTGGGGCTAAGCGGGCTGGGGCTCATCGGGAGGGCCAGTTTGTCGGTCTCCAGCTGCGGGAGGGAAAAACACAATTTTTTAAATTATACATCTTAAAAAAATCACAAAATTAAAATCTTTTCTCAGATGCCTTTTTTGTTCCATTTTAATATTTTATAGATAAATTCTCCCATTTTGATAGTCCCTATATAACTTGTTAGATATTCACAAACACACCACACACACTTTTAAACACTTAAAAAATATACGTAAGGATATGTATGAGCATTAAAAATTAGGAAGCATATGCATCGAGCTGTCACCTCACAGGAGTGGAACTGGGCAGGGAATGAAGAGGGAAATTTCCAACTTAAAACATAATTTTTTAGATTTGGGAAAGGTAGTAGATAATAACTAGTAATGCCTCTCTGACATGGGTTGAATTATGTTCTCCAAAAATTCATACGCTGAAGTCATACCTCCCCATAACTCAGAATGTCTTTCATTATTCAGAGATAGGGCCTTTAAAGAGGTAATTGAGGTACAACTGGGTGCTAATCCAATAGACTGGCGTCCTTGTAAGAAGACACAGATGCACACAGAGGGAAGACCATGTGAAGACACAGGGAAGACGGCCACCTCCTATGAGCCTAAGGGAGAAGCTTCAGAAGACATCAACCCTGGTGACACACTGATCTCAAACGTCTAGCCTCCAGAACTGTGACATACTAACGTCCTGTTGTTTAAGCTGCCCAGTCCGTGGTACTTTACTATGGAAGCCCTAGCAACCCAATACACCCTTCTCCTGACAAGTAAGGAAACCAAAGCCTACAGAAGTAACTTTCTTCATTAACAGCTCCCAAGCAGTAAGTGCCAAAACTAAGACTAGATTCTGTTTCCTGACTCCCATTTCAAATAAGCTCATGAATTAAAGAAAATCATTTGAAAGAATGAGAACAGAACACCAGAAGCATGAGCCTGAAGCTTGCATTCTGGACTGGGCACCAGAGAGACAATAACAAAAAGGAAGGAAACAAGATGTTTTCAGATGGAGATAGTGAGCTACATGAACACTCTGGCTGGTGAGCAGAGAATGGATTTTAGGGAGACAAGAAAGCAGGGAGAGAGTTAGCATGCTGCTACTTTGGCCAGGTGAGGTAAAATCATGGCTGTATATACCAGGTGTGTAGTGGAGATGGGGGAAGTGACAGGTGTTATCACCCCATTTTACAAGGGAAATGACTATGGCCCAGAGAGGGCACACAGCTACTGGGAGAAAGCCAGTGTTCATCTCACGTGTGCCTGCCATCTCTACTCAGCGCTGTCATTTGACACTATACTTCAGACCTGGGGCAGGTACTTGTGGTATTTTCTAGTCCATTGACTTTATCTTTTTATTGGCTCTCCTGGCATGGATGAAAATCTGGGAGCAGGCCACACAGGGCAGGGTTCAGGGAGTGATGTACACTCTTCCCAGAGCTGTTAATCAATGTTCATTAGAAGCCTCGTGAAGTCAATCACACAAGTCAACTTCAAGTTCCTCAGTCAAGAAGACATTGACCCTCGTTTCAAAGCATCACGTTGAATAGTTGTAAAAGGCACATGGCAAACACAATGGCCTCTCTTACAGCCTTTAAGGCCTAAGAAATTCTTGCGACTTCAGATTCTGAGGACCACTGATTACTGCACATCTAATGTTGTTCCAGCAGCATTTTTGCTCTGTACAACCACCCACAACCCACATCTGCTTCCAGTGCAAGTTTAAGGCTTGGATAACACGCATTCCCAGCAGCCCCTTTCTGATCCACAGATATGTTTCATGCATATGCTTTTTAACATTTTATTTCAATAGGCCCTGGCATGTGCCCCTGCTCCCTGAAAATGCACATGGCCATTCATGCCAATACACGTTTTTTATTCACTCAGTTAGACAAAGAAGACTTGTCTACACTCTGGTTCTCAGGGACATTACACTGCACGACATGGTCAGTCAATATAGTGCACTGTTCTTGCTTTAAAAGAAATGCCCGCCCACAAATCACATGCCAACAGGCTAAGAAGTCCACCCACCTATTTCCTGAACTCAAAACTTTAAATATTTATTTCCTCTTCTCCCTGCCCCCTGACTTTTGCCAAAGGATCCTATCAATGGAAAGTAAGCACACGGTTTCCAACACAGCTTTAAAAGACAGAATGCTGACATGATGCTCTCCTATAATTAAGAAGGATTCAACGGCCCCAGCCGGTTTGGCTCAGTGGTTAGAGCGTTGGCCCGCGAACTGAAAGGTCCCGGGTTCGATTCCAGAGAAGGGCACATACCTTGGCTGCAGGCTTGATCCCTGGCCCCAGTCGGGGTGCGTGAGGGAGGCAACCAATCCATGTGTCTCTCTCACATTGATGTTTCTCTCTCTCCCCCTTCCACTCTCTCTGAAAAAAAAAGAAAAAAAAAAAAAGCAATATAAAAAATGTCCTCGGGAGAGGATTAAAAATAATAATGAGTCAAGATGAGTACGAAAATGCCCCCAGGAATTGTTTTTAGCATCACCACACTGGAGCTAACAACTACCACTAAAGCCAGAGGCCATGGCAATCATTCTAGAACATCTATGCAGCTACTAAATATACACAATAGCTGGTTGCATTCCAGATTTCTCTTGTTATTTGCATTTTTTTTTCCTATAAGAAAAATATTGCACCAAGGAACTTAATTCTTTCTTCTCTTTACCTTAGTTAATATTTACCATATCCCTCAAAATTGGTTTACAACACTGCATGCAGCTCATGCATTGTGTGGCCTGTGGTAGCTCTAATCAGAAATTGAGTCATAGGGTATCTGCAATACATGAATTCTTTATTTTATTAATTCAGAACGTTCATAGTTCAGTATTGAGTTCATAGCAAATGAAGAACACCTACAATAAGATTTAGATATTAAAAGAGAAGATAGATATTCTAAACAGGAAAACCAGATTTCCACAGAAGAGGGTCTTATCTTCTTACAAAAGCTTTGCGCATAAACTTTTCAAAACATTCACAAAAATGAGTAACTTAATTTATTCCTTATGCTTCTTTGAGCTTTCCAAATTCTCTGCAGGGTCATATTAACTTTATAATTAGAAAACAATAAATGTTATTTGTGAAAGCAGTCACCACGGATAAGTATATTTTCCTTCTGCTACGGATAAGTATATTTTCCTTCTGGTAACTTGAAAACGTCGTGGCCGCAGCCTCTTTTATTTGTGTCGGTAGCCAAGAAACAGGATAGTTGGAAGAGCATCTACTTGGCTGAGCTCCTCTCTATACTTTTGTTAAATGTTTACGGGCACAAAAGGGCAACACTCCCCGCAAACTTCTTCCAGTGAGGTAGATATTAAGACGTAAATGAAAGGCCTCTGGGAAAACTGGGCCAATGAAGGAAACGCATCCACCAGATATCCGAAGCCCCTTTGGAGAAACTTGAAAAGTGCAGTTCTTTTTGCTTTATAGCCATGAGGTAATCACGCTAACTTGGAAGACTCAATTGAGAAATGAGGTAGAGACAGTAAGACAAACCAAAAGGGGAGGGGGCAGGGATAATAAAGACAGAACCAGCCAAAAACAGATGGTTCTATTGCGGAAACTACAAGAGCATGTAATATATTTTGGCCAAATGAGCCCCAAATGTCCTCCTATATTAGTTTCCATGGAAGTACATTTAGTCCTTCCAGATACCGCAGTTCTTAGTCCAAACTGATATGGGACGAGATAAACGGCTCCCCTGACTCAACAGCTGAGTCACACCTAGAGGAGCTCCACTGCTGACCCGACCGTCTTCCTTTCTCATCTCCAGAACCACCGAGTAGGGAGAACCACCCCAACAGCTGAGTTACTGGGGTACTGGCTGAAGCGTGCGGGCTGGAACGTCTCTGGGCTGCGGGGGTTTGCGGCCTTGTTTATGAGAACAAGGTNTACTGGCTGAAGCATGCGGGCTGGAACGTCTCTGGGCTGCGGGGGTTTGCAGCCTTGTTTATGAGAACAAGGCTCTAACTTGTCTTCGCGTTGCACTGGATTGACCCGTTTCCAGCTGTGTCTTCACAACCCTCACTCCTACCTCAACCAGAGCCCCAAAACGGAGTGCTCACACTGGGTGCTCCACCAAGTCGCAGCTGGAAACTGAAACTTGAAAATAGAAAAGAATTCTCTTCCTTTCATATCAAAGCAAAAATTCACTTGTGTCGCCTGGCCTTTCCTAAGGTGATGGGGTGTGGAAGGCTGGAGTGTTTCTCTAGCCCCTGGGGAGAATGGAGCGGTGACTGGCGAAGGGAAAGCCCTCCAAGCTGCATCCAAGGCCAGGGTGCTATACATATGAAACAAGATTTTTGCGAGGGCCCTTCTCTCCCGTGATCTGGTAGCATTCCTGAACATACTCTACCAACAGGAATGCGCCGAGAACTCGGGCCTCAGAAGCTGTCTTTTCATCACACATTTCTTGTTCCTCAGTCAACTCCTAAAAATGTCATGAAAATCCTGGAATATCACTGCAAGGGAAGGTGTGGTCTCAGAGAAACCACTTTCCTCCTCAGACCCGTTCCCCCATTTCTAAACCAAAAAAGTTAGAGGAGGTAATCTCTGTTCAGAGTATGTCTTATTTGTTTGTCTTCCTATTGCCATTTCACTCTCTACCCCCACCCCGGCCTCCACCCCAAGTTACCCTTTCTCCTTCCAAGTTACCGCCAACTGGTTCACTCAACTAAGGTTTACCCCCGAGTTATTTTCAATTACTACCCAATTACAATCTCCCTGTGGTTGCACAATCTGTTTTCATAAAACTAATTAACAAGTTTGATGCCTCAGTGACCCCCTGAAATAAAGCATTAATTACCCAGCCTGGATTCTCTTTACCAATCTGCTCAAATGATTCAACTTAACCCCTTGGCTCCTGGCACTACCCAGTTGGATTCCAGAGGCCCCCTTTTCCCCTCTGCAGCCAAATATGCTTGACAGACTCAAGAAAGCTTCTTAAGAGTCAAAAATCACCCTTTCAGCTAAACTTTTCCTCCAGACCTCATCTAACACTTAGAAAAATTTCCATCAA